ACCCAGCACTTAAAAGGTGCCTTTTGCTATTTAGAGATTTTTGACATTTTTATTTTTTCTCGTTTCCATGGAGATAACTTGAACATAGACTCTGAATGGGGGTAAGCTTTGTTTCCGGACCATAACTCGGAAACCGTTTAATATTTTTTCGCGAAACTTTGTATACACATTAACCCAGCACTGAAGTGGTGCCTTTTGCTATTTAGAGATTTTTTACATTTTTATTTTTTCTCGTTTCCATGGAGATAAGTTGAACATAGGCTCTGAATGGGGGTAAGCTTGGTTTCCGGACCATAACTCAGAAACCGTTTCATAATTTTTCGCGAAACTTTGTATACACATTAACCCAGCACTGAACTGGTGCCTTTTGCTATTTAGAGATTTTTGACATTTTTATTTTTTCTCGTTTCCATGGAGATAAGTTGAACATAGGCTCTGAATGGGGGTAAGCTTTGTTTCCGGACCATAACTCGGAAACCGTTTAATATTTTTTCGCGAAACTTTATATACACATTAACCCAGCACTGAAGTGGTGCCTTTTGTTATTTAGAGATTTTTGACATTTTTATTTTTTCTCGTTTCCATGGAGATAGCTTGAACATAGACTCTGAATGGGGGTAAGCTTGGTTTCCGGACCATAACTTGGAAACCGTTTAATATTTTTTCGCGAAACTTTGTATACACATTAACCCAGCACTGAACTGGTGCCTTTTGCTATTAAGAGATTTTTGACATTTTTATTTTTTCTCGTTTCCATGGAGATAAGTTGAACATAGGCTCTGAATGGGGGTAAGCTTTGTTTCCGGACCATAACTCGGAAACCGTTTAATATTTTTTCGCGAAACTATGTATACACATTAACCCAGCACTGAAGTGGTGCCCATTAGTTGTTTGAATTTTCTAGGAGTTCTATTTTTGTCTCTGTTATTTAGTAATGGAGGGTGGGAATGAAGAGATGGGGTTTAAGGTGAAGTAAACGAATGAATGGGGGTTAGGGGAGTGGGGGGAGACATACGTTTTTACGAGTAAAAACATTTTCTAGTTTAATGTGGATATCTTGTGTTTTATCTGAATTTGACCGCTGCTCCTGCACTTTGGGTTTTAAACAAAGCAGTGCTTGGACATACAATAAAGCAGATCGACCAAGAGAGATCAAGGGTATTTCATCTAATCTGCCTGGAGGATTTATAAGGGATTACAACTTCGTGACAAGCTGATAGGATACTAATTACAAAGGCTTATTTTATTGCTTGATCTGCTCGTCGCGCAGTTTTAATCCCTTTTAATCCTTATCCTTGCTGTACATCTGGCTTTATCACCTGTGTGCTATTACTATTCTTCCTGTACATCTGGCCTCAGCAAATCATCTGCGAGCTACATCTTACCTATTACCGGTTGTTGATGCTGTTTGTCTGCCATCACAACATGTCATGCATATATACCTTTTTTCACTTGGATGTAGTTTCTCTCGCTTGATAACGAGATAAGAATCTACATCGAAACGTCGCTATATGCAATAAAACAGAAGTTGGTATCCATAAAGTTGCACCTTTTGTTTGATTCTAATGGTTGGTGCTATGATATGGTGGCTGACTCGGTCGTTAAAGAGGCCGAGGGTCAATTTCGAGGTCGAGGGTCACAAATATCAGGTAAAACCGCCTCTGTTGGCTAGAGATGCACGTGTTCTTCGAGGCATGTTTCTGATGAGTCCACCAATGTCAGCTTGACTCATGTTGTTCCACTCATTAGTGATAGTAACACCATGTTCATTGAAAGTCGTGGGTGGATTTTGACGTTGACGTACAGGTCTACTAAGTACGTCCCAGACGTGATGAACGGGGAAAAGGTCAGGACTGAGTGTTGGTCATGACCTGACATGGATGTTTTGTTGTTGGAGGAACTGGGTCACAATCCTGGCACATCAGCGCTTGCATTATTATCTTGAAAAATGAAACGTTGTCCAACACATTGTGCAAATGGCACCACGAGTGGTGCAATACTAATGTCCTGTGACTCCCGTATTGACCTATGACATCGATAATATGGAGCTAGGTTCTACGCATCAATGTGATGCAACCTCATACCATCATGTGTTCACCTCCAAAACGATCATGCTGTATAACATCAATGTCCATACAACGATAAATTAGACCGTCTACAAACTCGATTCCTTAGGACTTGTAAGTTGAGAGTCAACCTCGATTCGTTGAAAACCATGAGTCGATTGTCGCTGTGCTGTTGTTCCCTACACCACTGACACCTCTGATTCAAATGACATGCAGTAAGTTGTGGGATGAGATGTAGAAGTCGTGCAGGCAAATGCCATCTGTGCAGACGAGTTCTCATCGTCTGTGCATGTACCCTTTCACCAGTTGCCTTTTGCAACCGGTCTCTTATCTCAATGGCCGTTTGTAACCAAATGTTTAATGCCATCATTCTGACTAATCCGTTCTTGGCTGGAGTCATGGGCGTTATGTGTTTGACCCACAATCTTCTGATGACAGTTTGAGAAACATGCAGCGTTTGGGCACCAGTGCTGATGCCTATGGCACGTATACGTTCAGCATATTGCAAACGTTGCATTGTAATGCATGTTGGTTCCTGAATGATTAAATGGGTTTCATAAAGTGTATTTGAGCAATTGGTAAGACGACATTCTGGTATTTTCACCCCTTGCATGTGCTGTCTGCGGTCATGTGCTTCATGACTATCACACTGTTGTGTTTGGGAGCTTGACCTCTTCTGAAATGTTGGTCTTTGATTCTATCAAAAAGTATTTATGCAACCACTACACCAAACGCGTGATACACAATGTCTTTATTGATCTGCGTGATCAATGCTGTTGCTTCATTTAGGTGCATTTGCACAGTACAACTAGTTGGTACAACTTGTTGTATGCATTTAGTTGAACGAACTTAAGTTGTATACAACTCAGCATTCACATGGCGGCGAGTGGCATACACCTTGGATCTCGCGAGATCTCTGACCATTAGCTTGTGATTCACTACATTGCCACTGGAATCATTGTTGCTAAGTTAATTTTCAGACAGTCACGCAGTACGGGGCCAACCTCTGACTTTGCAATTTAAGGGACTTGTATGTTATTGACTTTTTAACCCCATGGTGGAAAAGTAGAGATTGTTTTCCAAGTTTCTGTTTTGCTAATGATAATGCCTCTAAAATAGGTAGCCACATTAGACTGTACAGTAGATAAAGTACTGTGCGACGAAATGCCTTATTTGACAGCTTCATGTAAAATGTGTGGGGGGCACGGGTGGCTCAGTCGTCTAAGGCGCCGCCATTCGCTGTGCAGAGTTGCGTCCCCTGGACACGCCAGAAACATACAAACATCATATATTAGAATTGTATGATTATCTATCAGTGGTCATTACCCCCGCCGGCCTCCCGTTTGCCTTTTGTCCATTGCCATTTACCTATCAATGATAATCTAACCCTGGCTTCCAGCGCTAATAACTGTTAATGGTTGGCTTCCATTGTCTGTTGCTAATCGCCATCAGCGCCAATTATCTGTTGGCTTCCCTTGTTAAGTTTCCACCTTTTGTTCTCAAATTACTTTTGTTGTTCTTACATGTACATATTTATGCTCTCTGCCTCATATCATTCATTCACCTGATGAAGGTGTAAGCATATACTACGAAACGTTGTGTTCCTCATAATAAAGAAATTGACGTCCATAAATTCTCTTCCTTATGTGTATCACTTCTAAATGCCTTTCAAAGACTTAACACAATGAACAGTTTAACATTGAGATTAAGACCAATGCAAATGTCAAAATATATAATTTGTTACAGGGTTAGTCTACGTACCTACTCTTCATATGTCCTTTATTGAGAAGTGACACTTAGGAAACTGAAAAGTAGAAGTTACCGACGTGAATCAGATTCGCCATTTTTGTTTACAAATTGACGTGTTAATTTCACATGCATTCTGCGTTCATACAACTTGTCGCATGAAAATAGAGAATGTCCTATTTCGTACATCTCACATCCAACAAGTTGCAAACGTCAAAAGTTGGACCAATCTGCATGTTCCCAATGTGCAATGTGTTGCATGCAAAAAGTTGTGTACAAATAGTTGTACGGTGTGAATGCCTCTTTAATGATAAATGTTTAATAAACGTTGCCAACGTTGCCATAAACACCAAATAGTGTTTCTGTGGACGTCAAACTGTCTTGCAACACCACTTTGACTCGATCCTGCTACAAGCATACAAATGGCTCGCGTTGACGACGTTGAGTAACACAAGCGTCGCTAAAACATTCCCATGGGCACCTGTACGTGATCAATAGGGTTGCCCAGATGAAACCAGGACTTATCTCTGAACAGTATACTATCCCAGTCTTGTCTTATAAACCTCATATGCTGTCCTCACCACAAGGTGTGCTTGACGAAGATGTGGAAGCAAAATCAGGCGTATCGCAAGACGTCGGGGAAGGATGTTGTGCTCCCTCAACTGGTTGCATGCGGTTCTCAACCCTGAATGTTAATGTGACAGTATGGTATCGATTCCGTAAATGCACTAACCGAATATAGCTGTCTTGTTGACGTGACGTCACACATGGACGACCTCTCCGTAGCAAATCATGTATGTTTTAACATATTTGCTTACCCTGATCACTTTTGAAACAGTGACTATTCACTATTCCCTTTTGTTTTCCGATATATATTGGCACATTTTAAAATAGAGCTCTTAGATCCTTTATTCCAACAAGTATCCATCTCTTAAATGATTCTTAAATAATACACCTTTTTACAGACTTTTGTTTGAATGTTAACTCTCATGTATAGGATCTGCATCTGCAAAGAGAATTCCTTTGTAGTAATAAAGTATTATCATTGATATGCTCCTCTGGAGTGTTTGTCCCAAAAGAATTTTCACTTAATACATCAACTTTGAGATGAAATTGAAGCTCATGTATTACACTGTGATCATAGGCTTTATTTGAGAAGTTTCTTATGAAGCATTGATTCTTTTATAGACGGGCATATAACAGCTGTGAAGAACTGTCCAGCAGATACAAGAGAGGAAAATCTTTAAACGCTCTCCAGTGATAAAACCAGGCACAAAATGGCTTCCGAACCTTTGTAAGTATATGATGTTGAGATCTTATGAGTTTGTTATGAACACAATATTTCTCAAAGTCATTTGGCCACCTTATTTTTGCCAGGCCCACGTTTTAGCTCATCTGACTGAAAGTTATCCGAGCTTATATCTTTGCTTGTGTGTCGTTCACTTATGCATTTTCCACATCTCCTCCAAAACAGCAAGTTCTGTGATGCTGACACTTTCAATGAATGATGCCAGTCACAGTCTCTCTAAACATACTCCCAGAATTCTAATCTTATTACATAGAGAATGTCAATATTGTCCATTACTCCCCCTTTGCTTCATTTCATATACAGCAAGTATGTAATATGCAGAATAATACATACGGTTTGGTGGTCATAGTTTGATATTTAATCCAGCAACAACATTTGACATTGAAAACCTCTCCGTTTTGATAGTGTTATTGTATTTTCATTACCTCCTCTATAACTATAAGACCAATGAAGCAGAAATTGTGCCTTCATGATACCAGCTATATACCACTTTTTGAGGGAAATAAATTTCTCGGCGCGTGAATACCCCGCCACGAACAAGACAGGCTGCACGAGAATTTCTAAGAGGCAGAAGAAACCACTTAGACCCCCTTCCAAGAAATGAAAGTCATGTGACATAGCACAAGTTAGCCTCAGCTCAATCGAACAGCTGTAGGGTTATATACCTTGGGGTACAGGATCAAGACCCTGACTTTTTTTTCATAGAAGTCTTAAGTTTTATCAATTTTGTCTTAAAAAACACCATTTGTTGTCAATCACTGTCATGCCACCCTATAACGAGGAAAGGCCACCCTATATCGAGGAAACAATCTATTTTTAATCTCCTAACAGTTCTCTGGTTTGGGCACCGAATGTTTGGCGTGCTTTTATCTCCCATCTTCATTAATGCCACTGGTCTTACATGATTTTGATCGAATCTCGTGTTTCATTTGTGTTGTATTGTGTTGTTTTTGTATTTGTATTCTAAGCCTAACTGTGAAAGACCCGTACCAAGTCGATGGTTTTCATTTATTTCTCCACATAGTCCCCTTCCAGGTTTACACTCTTTTGCCAGCGATGCTGCAAGGTCTGGATGCCGGTCAAGAAGAAATTTTCTTCAGCCACCCTAAAAAAGTCATTCCCAGCGGAAATGACGTCATCATTACTAGGAAAATGGCGTCCGGCTAGTTCCTTTTTCATTTTGGGAAACAGGTGGAAGTCTGAGGGGGCCAAATCGGGTACATAAGGGGGATGGTCAATGACTTCGAAGCAATCATTGATCGCTGACATGGCAACTACCGATTTGTGAACGGGAGCATTGTCTTGGTGGAACAGGACTCTTTTAGTGAGCATTACCCGTCGCTAAGCTTTGATAGCCTATGATAGTCTTAGTAGGTCAGCACAACATCTTCCATTGATAGTCTGAACTTTTTCAAGATAGTCAATCAGCAGAATACCCTTGGAATCCCAAAAGACTGAAGCCATCACGGGTGGAGGGGCCTGGTGATTCCGGATGCTTCCATTGTTTTGGATGAATCCAGGTCTCATCCATGGTTACAAAACGAGCCACAAAAACATCGGGATCTGCTTCAAAACGGCACAAATTGTCACGGGACGTCAGGAATCTAATACGTTTCTGATCCGCTGTCAAGATCTTTGGCACGCATCGTGCAGAAACTTTTGTCATTCCCAACTCGTTGGTGATAATGTGCTCAACCCTCTCATGAGAGATGCCCACAACATTGGCAATATGTCGAGTGGTCAATCGTCGATCAGCCATCACCATGTCATGCACCCGGTTAATGTTTTCCAGAATGGTTGCTGTTAAAGGCCTTCTTGGAAGCGGGTCATCGTCAAGGCTGTCTTTGCCGCGCTTGAATTCCGCAGCCCACTTCTTTAGAGTGGAAAAGGAAGGGACATAATCCCCTAAAGTGGAGACCATGTCAGCATGTATCTGTGTTAGAGTTAGCCATTTCAGTTGCAGGTACTTGATGACTGCCCTATAGCCAGTTTTGTCCATTTCTGGTGATTTCAATGGGTAGGTTCACAAGATGGTCTGGTACAAAGGAAATCGACTAAGAGTGTGTATTTCAAACAACATTGACCTTAAGATTTTAGGTCATATCTTTTTAGTCACAGTCAAAAAGATGTGACGTCATAGTTTCGACTTGTGGTGTAGAACTAAACTTTGCCAGGCTTGCGTAATCTTCTTCAAGAATGCCGAATTCAATAATAAGCATTTATGCTTTCATCTTTGCAGAAATATACGTTTTTTGAAAGTAGGATGGCTCGGGTGCCCCTGTTCATGTTACCGGCATGTACTGCGAGGAAGTGGGCTGGTTCGGGCGACACGATTCATGTAACTGGTACCCTGGTTCAGGTGCCACTGTTCATGTTACCGACCTGCACTGTGAGGAAATAGTCTGGTTCAGGCGACAAGATTCATGTTACTGGTACCCTGGTTCAGGGTGCCCCTGTTCATGTTACCACTGCCCACTGCGATGAGGGTACCCCTGTTCATGTTATTGGTACCCACTGTGGGGACGTAGGCTGGTTCGGCTGCCACATGTAAATTGTGTTTTCACAATAATTCACCAGAACCATGACCAAGTTCCTTTGTCAAGTGGTATACATCTCAATTAGGTAATTATGGTAACAGTTCTCAGACAACCCTACGTAGATGTTTGTGTAGAATATGTAAATGGTTTCCGAGTTATGCTCATGCTAAGGAAACATTCGTAAAAACTCCCAAACTTTCAAAAGGCACCAACTTACCACTTGACCTATTTATATGACAAGTTTGGAAGACATATTATACGGTTTTCAAGATCTGTGCCAAGTTTGGTGATTTTCAGTCAAAGTCATTGCCATGGAAACTCAATTTTTTTTTTTAATCCCAAACTATCAAAAGGCACCAGTTCATCACTAGACCTATCTATGTGCCACGTTTGTTGAAGATATCACTCATGGCTTTAGTAGTATAAGTAATGGGGGTTCTGGACCACTTCCACTGGAGCCGGATTTATATACCTATACTGCTACTACAGATGGATTTATTTATGCAAAAATGATGATGCAATTCAAGAAGGCGTCTTTTTCTTGTTTGGCATGCGCGATTTCGGCACCCCTACAATATTTTTTTCTACTAGAGCAATAGGATGTGTCTAAAGCATACAACTGTGCCCAACGAATTTCCAATTGAACATTTGTGCCATAGAAAAGAGAAAAGAGAACAATACATAGGAAGAAAGATAGACTGGTATCTATATCTGCAAAACACTAGTACGCGAACATACCACAAGGCAAAACAAGTCTAGAGTGCCCTCTTCTATTTTTCTTTCTCGGCATTGTATACATATTCTACAATATCTTGTCTCAAATAGAAATCCTATACATAGAAATTCTGTCATCACTGATCAATTGGCCGATCATTGAAAGGTGATTGTAAAGATGTGTGAAATAGATACTAAGGTAATTCATAGATTGCTGTAAATTGTCACTGCGATAGTTTGGATGTTTTTTTGTCTCTAGGGTATCCGTGAACGGTCATGCGGCCAATCTCTCCCACTTATCCCAAAGTAAGCTCTGACGCCAGAGACCATATAAGTACTGCGAGCGACAGATACTAGAGCAAGGCATACCAGAAATAGGAAACCTAATGCTTCCGAAAGGAAGCCGAGGGCATCACGTGCGTCGGGGGACCATCTGGTTGGCCGTTAACAGTTGTACAAGGCGGAGCACAAAGCATCGTTTTTCCGTCCATTTTACGCTTGAAAAACTCGACCCTTTTCCGGACACTTTATAGACGCTCACCGATTAATCAATTTTATTGATTTTTTCTTGTTTTTCCGTCCAATGAACATATACGGAAAAAATGACGTTTTTGTGTTTGCAGTGAAAACTGGGTGTATAATGCATGAAGGCTCGTGTCAGAGAGTTCGAAAGTAACTTTAAACAGGTGTTCAGGTGTACAGTACCCTCAATGTACAGTTATTCAGACATTCAAAAGATAATGATGTTTTCACATCAATGTGTCCTTACTGCAAATGTTACCAAGAGGAAAGATACCATGTTTTATTAATATGTCGAGTATATCAAGATATAAGAATCAAATACCTGCCTCACTAATATTATACGTATCCATCACAAACAATATTTGTACAGTTAATGAACAGCACAAATAGCCACATTCGTCTCTGAATGGCAGATATTTGAAAGAAAGATGATACACCGAATATTAATTGTAATAACTTGAAGTCTTTCTTTCTCAAATGATGATTTCTTTATTCTTTCCTGTTTTGCATTCTTTCTTTTCTTTACATTCTTTTCGTTTCCATTTAGATAAATGTCTTTCTTTTCTTAACTAGAATCTCATTATTTTCAGATTGACTGAAATACAAATAAATAAACAATAATTACTATTTTGATCAAATGATGCATTAATGCAAATAATCATAATGACATTATAAATGAATTAACCTTATAAAATTGACTACCTTTCAGTGACATGAAATACTATGCAAAATGTAAACAAACGATGAAAAACACTTTATGACTAAATAACTGCTCTAAAACATTTATACACATGTAGATAATAATAAAATAATATATATGACAAAATTTGGCAAACTCACCATTGTTTTTAGACTCTTTTATCCTTAAAACCTTTTCTCATTTCTTTCATTCTCACATGCATGCTGCATGCTTTTAGGGCCACATGGAAGATAATACACGATACTAAGCAGTTATGCCCCTTGGCATATTATGATGAGTAAACATAAATTTGAATGGAGAAGAAATGAAATATGAATTAATACTTGCCAAAAACGAAATATGATTTATATTTTAATACTTTGATAACAAACAAAGGAAATATGATTCTGAACTTTGAAAATAATAACTTAACAATTTTGACACTTACACACCGGCCTCCTAATTGTAGGATGAAATAAGACAATTATCTTAACTAAGAAACAATAACCCACAAACACTCCTAAATAAACACT